CGTGAGCTTGTTTCCCTGCAAACACTGAAACAGAAGCTCATGAAAGAAAGCTCTTACCTCTTGCTCTTACCTCTTGCTGCACTGCCGGTGTTGGGATGCCCCGCCTCCCATCGGCCAGCTGGTCTTCAGGTCTTTGCTGCGTATGTCTGTGTACGCGCACACACATTCAGTTTGGGCAATCGTGTCTAAAAGCTGTCCTAGGTGCTTGTCTGAGCTAATTTTGTTGACCTTTTGTTTGTTCTTATCTGAGTTTTTGTCTTGACCCAGTCTTCCTGAATGGATTACCAAATCTGCATTTCTAAAAGCTGGCCTTCTCAGTTTCTGCTTGCGGAAGGGAAACTGGGGCTGGTTTCTGCCTCCCTTAAGATTTTTTCATTTTCTCCTTTAGAGGAAATATTTTATCCTACCTTTTTAAATATTTCCCAAAGTATTTCATTCTGTGTGTGCAGTGGGGTGGCTTCCCACACTTTTATACGGTTTTACCCCATCAGCATGTTAATTTCAAGAAATTTGTATACTGCCCTGACAAGGACAGGATTGCCATTTTAATCTCTTTTAGAGATACGGGTAGTAATACAGGTAGTTCTCAACTTATAACCACAATTGAGCTCAACATTTCTGTTGCTAAGTGAGACAGTTGTTAAGTGAGTTTTGCCCCATTTTATGACCTTGCCACAGTTGTTAAGTAAATCACTGCAGTTATTAAGTTAGTAATATTGTTGTTAGGTGAATCTGGCTTCCCCATTGACTTTGCTTCTCAGAAGGGAGCAAAAGAGGATCACATCACCCCCGAGACACTGCAGCCGTCATAAACATAAGTTACTTGGCAAGCGTCTGAATTTTGATCACTTGATCATAGGGCTGCTGCAATGGTCATGTGAAAAGCAGTCATAAGTCACATTTTTAGTGCTGTTGTAACTTTGAACAATCACTAAGTCGAGGACTACCTGTACCAATACCAAAACAAGACAAGATTATGATTTAAAGAGAGATTATCTAAACTGCATTACTAAGAACCAGCCAGATACTCAATAGCAGATCAGCACAATTTTGGGGATGGGGTATTGGAATAACCTATAGAAATTTAAAATGTTTACCAGGAATCCAATACTTCCTTGAGAAGCAGTTATTAAGGATTTATGTGCTGTAATTGTCACACAGTCATCTTCTTAATATATAGTTGCCTTATTCATTTGCTAGATTTATAAGGCTACCCAATTCAAACTATGTGATTCTGGACAATATACCATAACAAACACCAGCCAAACAAACTCCGACCACTAAAAACATACACCGAATGTAAATATTAAATACAGAATAAAGAATGGTGTGCAAGAACCATAATAAAAGTAATCAAAAGGGATTATAGTCAATTGGCCTCAAAAACGTGGTGGGTGGGGCTGAGGGAAGCTAGATTTTAATGGTTTTCCTAAAGGCAAGCACATTTGGAGGGGGATTGCTCTAGAGAACAGGGGAGTCACCAAAAGCACATGCTTCCTAGATTTAAAAAGGTGTCAAGATTTAAAAGAGAAAACCTGAAACATGCCCTCTATATGACAGCATGTGTGGCAGTCAGGTGCCCTTGGGAGAAGGCAGCCCAACAAATAATCTGGTCCTTTATCATGTAGGTTTTAAAAGTGATAACCAGTACTTTGAATTGCATCCAGAACCCCACTGGAAGCCAGTGCAACTCGTGGCATAGTGGTGTAACATAGGTGTGATGAGTTGTGTCAATAATTGCAACTCATGGCATAGTGGTGTAACATAGGTGTTACATAGGTATGATGAGTTGTGTCAATAATTACCTGTGCAACTAGATTGTAGATTAAATAAATAGGAAGGACAAAGGCAAAATGGACTGCTAAATTGGCCACACCCATGCAGTCATATGACTATCTAGCCACACTTACAGTCACATGACCACCTAGCCATGCCCACCCAGCCAGTCCGGCCCCCCAACAGTCTGAGGGACTGTGAATTGGCCCCCGTTTAAAAAGTTTGAGGACCCCTGTTGTAGAAGAATTTCAAGCAGCATGTTGCAATAGTCTAATTGGGAAATGATTAAGGCATGAAGTGACCATGAGGAGGTCCAATCTAGGAATGAGTGCTTATGAGTGCAGATATTGTTATATCTGAGTTGTTCAAACTCACCCCTCCTGCTACTCCCGATAACTACCCCCTGCTCTTTAAGTAAGAGCTGTGAGTTCAGAAGAATCCCTGGTTTGCATAATCTGAATGGGGTATTATCCAAAATCAAAGATAGAAATGCTCCAACTCCCTGAAATCTGGATCTGAGAAACCCAAACCCTATAAGGATTTAAGCTGCAACCTGTTTTTTCCCCACCCAGACACAGGGACAGAAATACTATGAGCTGTCCAAGGAGGAAATTTCATCATTGGGGCACTTGTACCAAGAGTGCTGTCTGAAATCACAGCAAACTGCTGACAGATGCCTAAAAAAAGCAGCCTGAATGTATTTTAATTTACCAGCCAGCAGAAATTAATTCAGATATGTGATTGATTTCACTCAGTAATGCTCAGCTACCAGAGGCAAGCATGAGATTACATACACAGCTTAAGGCACTAAACACAATTCATACTATACTTTGACTGAAAAACTACATGGTCTGCCAACTTCGAATTCCCTTAACTGGAAGCCAAATATGTAAAGTGTCTCTTGAGCATATAACCAAAGTAATAAAATTAATTCATTCGCTTTGGTTCTGTACTATGTAACTTCTAAGCAGAATTTAACAAACAGGCCCAGACATGCCCAAGCTTCAACGAAAAAAAAAAAAAAAGAATACTGTACATTAATGGAAATAATGAGTCACTATTGAAAAAACTGAGTTATTTGTTTTGTTTTCTGTAACGTATCTTTATAATGTTCTGCAGATCTACTACAATAGAGATCAGTTGATATGAAATGGTGCAAGTAGTTTCTACAAAGTGTGCATTGCTATGACAGGGGAAGACAAAGTGAAAAAGGAAATGGAAAAAGAGGAAATGAACACTGAAAGAAAAATGCTAAGGTTCAGATTTAGAGAAGTCTAGTGAAGGACAAAGAGAAAAGTGAATATTATAGAATTTGAGAGGGAAAGGAAACTAATACTGGTAGTTATAATGATCTGGTTAGATCAAGGATAAGGAATGACACTAATTTTGTTGAAACCACTCTGGTCTTCATAGTACCTTACAAAGATCTTTTATAATTATTAAGAATATAGGAGATAAAAGATTTAAATTTAAAATGCACACATATTAAGAAAATTTACTTCACAAAAACTAGGTATAATTTACAGTTTTTGAATTTGAATTTTTGATAGATTCATATAAAAATATCAAAACACAGAAAGAAGTTAAAGAGGCAAACATCATTTTATAAAATCAACTGAAAGTAAAGCAAAATATATAACTGAAATATAAGTTTAATATACAACCATAATTGAAATACTGCCTAAAATTCTTGTAACTTATCTCCACAAAAAGATATACCAAAATTAGAAAAATACAGAAAAGAGCAATTAGTATAAATTTTTGAAGGCTTAAAAGGGAGAGTAGGAGAGAGACTTATAATTACTTAGATGTAATCTCTATGGCTGAAAAGCAGTACGCTTCTCAATATCAAACATCAGAGAACTATTACAAGGGAGTGTTTCTGAAGCTAATTTAGACTAATCCTTAGAAGCAAATTCTGAATCTGATTACCTCTTTGATTTAACCGATCAAGACTTCTGATATATTCAGTAAGAATTAACACAGAATTATAGAGTAAAAACCAGTGGAGAAAGAAAAACAGTGGGGAAAAAGTATGCTAAATGATGTAGATAGAGAACAGAGTAGCAACTACATGTTTATCTTTTTCTGTCATTAACATAATAGTATTCTTTCAGACTCTTAAAAATACAGTCTAGTGTTTCCCTGTAATATAGACAATTCTTATCACTATATTAAAAAAATTACTCTTGTGCAACAGTTTACCAAATTTGACTTGCCCAAATGACATGACACATTCTTTTATTAAAGCAAAATTACTTTGAAGATGAAACAGATACCATGTAAGCATTTTAACTTTTGTGTAAATGTGAGTTACACCTTAATTCATACACTATGAATAATTAAAACTAAGGTAATTTCCTTTAAAGAAAAAGTCAACTATGGGAAAGTGCAAACTGTGGTCCATGATAATGTAAAATTCAGCATTTCTTTTTGTTTATATTACCTATTTTTTTTAATTAAACATTTATATCATTTTGAATGCATGCCAGTTACATTCAAGTATAGGACAGCTTTAACCTTCTCAGCCTGTAGAGCTGTAGAAACAGAAAGGATTTTGCTCTGAGAATTCCACACTACCACTAAAATACTCCAAATGTAAGCTTAATTAACTAGATCTTTTAGCAAAGAAATTAAAAGACAAGTGATGGTCAGCCTCATAGCCCTTTGATGCACTGTTCAGAAGATTACAGGATTTCTATTTCTTTCCATCAATACCTTAGTAAAGAATTGTAAGATTATGTTTTTATCACTACATCGATATTATTAGTGCCAAAAGCAGACACTACACAACAAAAGGGAAGGGGGGGGGAGATTCAGCCTTTTTTCTCCTCGTGTATAAAAGTAAGCAATCGAAAGGAACTTGTGGAAGACCTAATGCACAACCAAGTGACCTTGAATGTGCAACCATTCCCGATTTATGTCAAAAGGGCAAGAAGTTGTTGGCTGTGAATTGGGAACTCCCAAGTATCGCACAGGTGCAGCAGACAAAGACAAAGCCCCCCCGAGGTAGGAAACCTTTCAGGTGTAATTTTAAGAGAGAAACTGGGCTGGAGCCAAAAAAAAAAAGACAATTAATAAAAATGGGGAAAAAAAATAAGATCAGAGAAATGAAAAGGCTCCAGTTGATCCGCGGGGCAGCTTTGCATAATGAAAAGGCACACAACCGCAGCCCTTGCCAGAAACCGGGCAGGGAGCGTCGGGGAAAGACTAAATGGACTCACCTGCCCAGGTGTTCAGGTACGGCTCCAGTATCGCCGAGTTGTCCAGCACCCACACGCGGAAGGCACCCATCAACTTAGAAAGCATACTATAAAAGCCGTAGCCGACTACCAACACTCCGACCCAATAGTAAAACCAGGCAGGGAGTAAAAAAAAAGAAGAAGCCTCCATAGTGCCCCCGCTGCTGCGCCAACAGCTACTGGAATGATAATGGCCCGGCAATGCTGAGCCCTCCAAGCTTGGGTCGGACCCGCCCACAAAATAGCCCCGCCCCAAAGAGCAGCTATTGGCTAATGAATACAATGTAGGATTGCGATTGGATATCTGTCGTGGAACACATGGGTCTTGATCTCGCGGTACTTTTCCAAAAAAAAAAAAAAATTCCTGAACAGACCGGCACAATGGTCCAGAAGTCGGTTCGCGCGCCCATGTGGCGAACGCCTCTTCCGGCGGAGCTTGCTTTCTCTGGCTCCTACTGGCGGAGAGTGATGTCATTCTTGTGGCGCCTCGTTGCGATTCGAGAGTGTAATTGTGATGAGCTGGCGGTTGCGGAAAGAGAATTCGTTGCGTGGAGTTAAAAATTGGATGTAGGGACGGGGCGGTTTTCTCTTTCTTTCAGTTCTTTTTAAATCTTGTCGTCGTTCGGACCCTATATAGCCAAAGTGTTATTATCTTATTGGCGTCTTGCTTCAACCCACGTCGTTGATTCTCTATTCATTCCTGACCGCCTTACTACATATACCCAAGTAGCCCAATCTCTCTCTCTCTCTCTCTCTCTCTCTCTCTCTCTCTCTATATATATATATATATATATATATACACACACACACACACACAAGGAGGAAAAGGGAAAACTATAAATTTAAATATAAGAGAAAACAAGGTATTAAAATAGAATTGGAAGAAGCGAGCAGAAAAACAAGCTAAATGCAACAGAAATACAACATATAGGCATTTCTGCAGCTCAGTTTTTAGAACAATGAATCTGAACGCAGAGCTATGTTTTCTAGTCTTGCTACCAAAAAGCCTTTTTGAAGGCCGAGAATTGAAATATTTCATTAAATCTTGAAGTTACAACTTCAAAAAAACTATTTACACCCTCCCTTTAAATTTTTTATTGCCTATGCATGCGTCATGTGATCCTATAGAGTCAGGTGACCAGAATTTGCAATATTTTTTCCATTTCCCAGTAGAAAACCCTAATCCTTTGGTTATGCTGGATTCACTTAACAATTATGTGGTTTGCTTAATGACCACGTGATGTGCTTAACAATCGCAGTGACTAGCTTAATGACCATCACAAAAATAGTCATAAATCAAGACCGGTCACATGGTGCACTACAGTGGTGGGTTGCTCACGGTCAGTGATGAAATCCAAATTTTTTACTACCGGTTCTGTGGGTGTGGCTTGGTGGGTGTGGCTTGGTGGACATAGCAGGGGAAGGATACTGCAAACTCTCCATTCCCACCCCACTCCAGGGAGAAGGATATTGCAAAATCTCCATTCCCACCCCATTCCAGGGAGAAGGTACTGCAAAATCTCCATTCCCACCCCACTTGGGGGCCAGCCAGAGGTGGTATTTGCCGGTTCTCCGAACTGCTCAAAATTTCTGCTACTGGTTTTTTTTTAATTATTTTTTTATTTATTTATTTTTATATACCACCCTTCTCCGGAGACTCAGGGCGGCTTACAATGCATTAAGCAATAGCCTTCATACTTTTGTATATTTTATACAAAGTCAGTTTATTGCCTCCACAAACCAGGTCCTCATTTTACTCACGTTAGAAAGGATGGAAGGCTGAGTCGACCTTGAGCCTGGTGAGAATTGAACTCGCAGTAATTGCAGGCAGCTGGATGTTAAATGCTGCCTTAGTAGGAGGCATTAGTCTCCTACGCCACTCAGGCTCCTCCTGAGTGGTTCTCTGAACTACTCAAAATTTCCGCTGCCAGTTCTCCAGAACCTGTCAGAACCTGCTGGATTTCACCCCTGCTCCCAGTTCTGTCCGGTTCTTTAGAACCGGTAGTAAAAGCGGCGGGAGGCTCCACCCACCCGCCCGGATGTCATAATTGACAATCTGCGCATGCGCAGAAGCATGCACTTGCGAACGAAGCAAGAGCGTGCGCATGCTCCCGTTGCAAACCGGTAGTAAAGGTAAGTAGAACCCACCCCTGATGCACTGACTTACGATCCCTGTGACTCACAACCATAGACTCCATTGTGGTTGTAAATCAAGAAGTATATGGATATTATACTAAGGCTCATAAATTCATCTACTTTCTTTAAATTTATGCCATTTGTGTGTAACCTGCAAGAATTCACTTTTCCTGACAAACATAACTTAGTTATTGTTATTTTAATTTTCAGATCTACTACTTGCAATATTCAATTTTTCCAAACACCTCTAATGTTATTACAAGCATTCCTTATACATTATTTTATTTTATTTATTTTATTTTTCAGATTTCTATACCGCCCTTCTCCTTTCGGACTCAGGGTGGTGAACAGCCAAAATAAAACATTTGTACACAAAAGTTAAAATAGATTTAAAATAATTAAATAAAGTTTGGCCCATAATTAAAAACATTTCAGTTAAAATCAATATCATATTTTAAAAACCAACCATAAAATCAGGACAGCCCAGCTAACTGAAAAAAATAGATTTTAAGGGCCCGACGAAAAGTCCCGAGGTCTGGGATCACTCGTATCTCTGGGGGTAGTTTGTTCCAGGGGGTAGGTGCCACCACAGAGAAGGCTCTCCCCCTGGGAGTCGCCAGCCAACATTGTCTGGCCGACGGCACCCTGAGGAGGCCCTCTCTGTAGGAGCGAACTGGCCGGTGGGAGGCAATTGGTGGCAGAAGGCGGTCCCGTAACTACCCCGGCCCTAAGCCATGGAGCACTTTAAAGGTGATCACCAACACCTTGAAGCGCACCCGGAAGTCCACCGGAAGCCAATGCAGCTCGCGCAGGAGCGGAGTCACATGGGAGCGCCCCGTCGCTCCCATAATCCCCCACGCGGCCGCATTCTGCACCAGTTGGAGCCTCCGGGTGCACCCCAAGGGGAGCCCCATGTAGAGAGTGTTACAATAGTCCAAACGAGAAGTGACGAGTGCTGGAGTGACCGTGCGTAGGGAGTCCCGATCCAGAAAGGGGTGCAACTGGCTTATCAGGCGAACCTGATAGAAAGCCCCCCCTGGCCACGGCCATCATATGCTCTTCTAAAGACAGCCATGCGTCCAGGAGGACGCCCAAGTTGCGGGCCCTCTCCGTGGGGGCCAATGATTCGCCCCCAATAACCAGCGATGGCGCCAGCTGGCTATACCGGGACGCCGGCAGCCACAGCCACTCGGTCTTGGAACGGTTGAGTCGAAGCCTGTTTCTCCCCATCCAGACCCGCACGGCCTCCAGGCACTGGGACATCACTTCCAAGGCATCGTTGGGATGGTCTGGGGTGGAGATGTACAGCTGAGTATCATCAGGGTACTGATGGAACTCCACCCCAAAACCATGGATGATCTCACCCAGCGGCTTCACATAAATGTTGAACAGGAGGGGCGAGAGGACCAACCCTTGTGGCACCCCACAAACAAGGCGCCTCAGGGTAGACCGCTGCCCTCCTGTCAACACAGATTGCGACCAGTCGGAGAGATAGGAGGAGAACCACCGCAAGACGGTGCCCCCCACTCCCAGTCCCTCCAGCCGTTTATCTGTATTTTATCTTGGCTGTTCACTGCCCTGAGTCCTTCGGGAGTAGGGCGGTATAGAAATTTGATTAATAAATAAATAATAAATAATAAATATTCCATAAACATTAAACATCCAACAGGACATTGTACATTCTTATCTTGTTTTGTGCTCAGTGCTCAGGCATTTATTAAATGTTCCATTTATTTTCACACATGCCTTATTTTCCTGATAATACTGCTCTTAGCACATTTGGATTCAATTTTCAATTCAAGCTTACAAATTTTAGCAGGAGCTTTTCCTAGATCAAGAAACATGCATTAAATTTTCTTTTTGTATAATGCTTAAAAACCTATGGAAAGCAAAACATCCAGTCTCCACGCGTCCCTGCCAATGGGATAAAGCTGATCTGCACAACTCCTGCTTAGCATTCGTTATGTATGTATCTTGAATATGGGATTGTAGTCAGAGTCCATTTTTCTCCAGCCTGACTGCACATTTAGGCAATATCGGGAAACCATTCCATTGCAGCCTTTATCAATGATTGAGCTTTATTTAGAAAAGCTAATTAATGCAGCAATAGAAGACAGCAACTTCTCAGAGAATTGTATGGTTGCTGGGTGGGTGGGGGGAAGAGAACCTGTTCATACCTGTACAGAATAATTATATATTTTGCAGAGGCTCACCCAAATTGTTTCATCCCTGCAACTGGTTATATGAGTTTTTCTGCTTAAATCAAAAATACATCAGATCTAATGATCAACATATTTCCACAATCTTTTCAGAATCTTTCTAGGCCTATTTCTTTAAACAAAAGTATCAAGGGTTGAAAAGAATATAAATATTTTTTGGCTTATCTGATTTCTTATAAATAAACCTGATGTGGTTTTGATTAGTAGTTTAAAATGTTTTTAAAGGTATAATATTAATTTGATAAGATTTAATAACACAAATATGGAAGTAATTAGGATGTTTATGAGCTTGGGCCTGTTATTTCCAGAATTCCTCTCTGCCATAGGAATAAACATAGAGGAGTAAATCTTCACAGGAAAGGTGAGATAAAAAATATGTGAATCAAGATTTCTGTATTTAAAAAGTCATTTGTTGCTAGGGTTGGCAATATATTATGCATAGATACCTTATCTACCCAGATAATATTGCATGTATTCAATTTCTGCATTCATACTTTCATTTAGCAAGATAAGAATAGGATGTCTCAATCTGATTAATAGATTTAAAGCTATTAGTTCATTTCTGGATGATTATGAATTAGTTACATTATGCCTCCCGTATACTATTACAAATTACATATATGGCTGCTTTGGTTCATTTCAACAACTTTGTATATGGTGGTATGTGTTAATGTGTGGAGTTGTTTTAGTTATAAACTGCAGTATAATAAACTGTTAACAGTGTATTTAATTTGTATTATAAACATTTTTGTTTATTTTCAATATTTTTTTGATAAAGGATATTTTTCTAAAATGTGTTGGGAATTAAACTTACTATTTAAAAACTCAAGGCTGTTCTCCATATTGTGCGAAAATTATCTTTAAAAGTTCAGAAAGTCTTCTCAAAGA